ACCAGAAAAAAACCATCCTCACCCAGTTTCTTAAAGATTACTCCATCGGGATACTATTCTTACATGAGACTTGGCTGCCACCCGACAGATCCTTTTCCATCCCTAACTACACCACAACAAGAACCGACCGAACCTCACCCGCTGGAGGCGGAACTGGCAATCCTCATCAGACGATCCATCCCACACACCCCTTACGAACTCCCTACAACATCCGTCCTAGAATGCACGGCAGTCGCTATTGGATCCTCCATATCTCAAATACTTTTGATATCCTGTTACAAAGCCCCCCCCCACATACACACATACCGATCCCCGACTCCGACCTAGTCACCCTTCCCTACCCCTTCATTATTGCAGGTGACCTCAACAGTAAATCGACCTCATGGGGTTGCATGACTAGTAAACGGGATCAGCTTACAACTAGAACATTTCGTAGACACAAACGCCCAAATCCAAGTGCTTTCCGAACCTACCCACCTTGTTCGACATATTTCCACGATATCCTGGATATTATCCTCCATTCCTCCCAAATACTAATAACCATCCCCCACCCAAAATACGACCTTTACGACCTATCTGACCACCTCCCAATATTTTTCACCAGCTCCTCCAGTAATCGCCACCCCACTTCAAGATAGAAAAGAAATCCCTGCAATTTTCACAGACAACCTAAGCGTACGACACAGTCTTCCATCCAATCCTTTTCATGAAAATCCGACCCTATATCCCCGATCATATTCACACCCTACTTAAATCATCGCTCCTTCCACATCAAACATCTATCAAAAACTCTCCCAACTACCCAATCCCAACTACCCAAGCCGGCGTCCTACAGGGCGCTGTGCTATCTCCAATCCTTTTTTCCATTTATATAAATATTTCCACCAAATCCAGGAGTACAAACTTTCCTTTACGCCGATGACCTTGCCTTCCTAGCTTCCTTCCGCTCCCTAAACCGATCCGTATCTTACCTCCAAGAATCCCTAAACAACTTCCACCTCTGGACTTTCCAAAACTCCGTTATCATAAACCCATCCAAATCCCAAGCAATCCTGTTCTATCAAACATACCCATCCAACCCCCTCCCATAACTATTGGAAACGAACCAATCCCCTGGATACCAGAAATATCCTACCTTGGCATAACCTTCTCCCGCTGACTCCTTTGGTCCCACCACATCCACAAAATTACCGTCAAAGCAACCAGGATCACCAATACCTTATATCCCATTCTCACCAATCCCCACATACCCACAAAGAGAAAGATCCAAACTTACAACTCCTATATCTGTCCCATCCTAACATATGCCCATCCCACTTGGTTCGTTACATCCCACACCAACTGCACCAAACTAACCCGCGTGGAAAACCACAACATCCGCCTCATCTTCCGCCCACCCATGTACACCATTTACAACTCCATACGACACCAAAACAAAATACCCCACATCCTCGCACACCTCCACAACTCTGCAATAGCCCAAATCCAAAAATACTTCAACAACCCCTATTCTTAAACCTAATAGTTCCTAACTACATCATCCACAGTAACCCACCCCGACACACCCGGAAAAAACATCCCTTTGACATCCTCCAACTTCCCGCTCCTGTACATGTCGTCGACAAGAACTCCGCCGCCTCCTTTGACTAAATCCTTGCCCACATCTTCCCTCTCACCCCACCCTATCCCCTCCCATCCCGGTCCTGCACCTTCCCTCCCCAGTCATCAACAACCTAAATAAAACAACCCCACTCTTCACAGATAAATTAACACTTCCTCCAACAACCCAGACTCCCGATCCCTGTCCCGTTCGGGGGTTTTCACGTTCCCGAATTTCTTGTCTGTAGTTAAGGGTGACATTAAATGTAAGTAAATTTAATTTTTTAACTTCATACAGGATCATACGAAAAATTGAAGGCTTTTCAATTATTTTAAAACAGTTTAACGCTTTTTTGCTTAAACTGTTTTAGTGCAAATTGTTTGTACGCAAACATAATATTAGTATTCGATTCAAAACCCATATAACTAAATTTCAAAATTCCATCAAAACTTCTCTGTATTTTCTACCACTTGCTGGCAACATGGTGGTTTGAATATTCTTCGAATTCATCCTATTGTTCTCGGTCGTGTTGATTTCTGACTGGATCTCCCCTCTCTTTTAGTACGATTAATTTTATTGAAATATCCAAATAATGTTTGAATCTACATGCTATTTAGTTTACCAATCTGACGGTCACTACTCTTTGTACCCCTTCCAATGGCCTATTCTATAACTTTAACTTAAACCTACAATATACTTCGATTTGTTGATAATGGCACCTCAGTATCAAAGTAGTCTCTGTGGCCACGCACTCGCGCGACTAGCATTTGGTAAGCACATGTCCGGGGCCACCAGCCCCGTTGAGAAGGACGTTCGCTTTGTCGAGAGTGCCTCCCCTATCCCCGTTTCGTACTTGACGTTGAGATGCCTTTATAAATAATTCGAAGTATAATAAACACACTCTTTACCTTAAAGATGTTTTGATTCGCTGATTATGGTATTAAAAATTAAAAGCTCAGTTCTTTGTAATCAAGGATGGCTTATGTGAAATTATTCCTGCTTTACTGAAGTGTGTGGTGCAAATACAGTTAAATTTATTCATGTTTTCTTTTATTGGTAAAATTAAGAAATGACTAGACCGCGGAACTTTATGCAATTGCTTATGTTTACTGATTGCGCATATCGAAAGGAAATGTATGTAACGTTACGTATCACCAAAAATAAAATATCTAGCCCATTTTTATTTTACATAATTGCATATTTATGCGTTTTTTTCTTAAACTCATATTTTAATGTCAGTGGCGTATGTCACAGGTCACTCTGTAGAAGTGGGTCGAACTCGTATATTTTCGTGTATTTCCCTTTCAAAAGAAAAGATAATTATTCTTAGATTTATTTGTAGTGGCACTTGACGTACGTCAGCTGTTCCGGTGTCATCCAATCGGGAACTTGAATGTCACCATAGGGGGACGTTGAAGCTCCCGATTGGATGACACCGGAACAGCTGATTAAACGTCGAGTGCCATTATAAATAAATAAAATAAATGAAATAAATAAATCGGAAGTATAAGTCATGCCATCACTACAATACCGACAATATTTTTGATAATATTTTAATAAGGTTGTTTTCACTTGAATCGTTTCACTTTCTGTGTCTTTATTCCTGCGCATTAACTTAGTGAACTGGCCGGAATGTTTCGGCTCCTTGTTACAATGCTATTAGTCCTCTCGTTTCATAGTTTTTTTTTGTTTATTACGTTTGAAAATATATGTTTGTTATACACGATTTGTACTAGGTACAGAGTAAAATGGAGATTACCCATAAATAAATGTTAACTGTTGTTAACTATATTTTTGTTTAATGCATATTCTTAATTTTAATAGCATATACGGGCTATTTTCACTGTTTATACAGTGATCCAGTCCTCGTTGCTAATACGCAGGTACCTTATCCCATATGTCATGTAAAGACTGAAATTTTCAAATTTGGATACTCTTCGTCCTTTAGTTTTGTAAATAATTAACGTTAAAGTTTGGCCTGTGCGCTTGGGCTCGTGTAACACGAGTACGACACGTGAGCGAGCGGCTGGGAAGTGAGCACAGGGCAAATAACGCGCGAGGTCAAGGCATCACAATCTCTCGTATGGCGAACACTTCATGCGGCGATATTACGACTTTTCCATTTCTAGTAGGTGCAGCATTTGCACAGTGCACAAATCGTTTTAAATTCTCTATGCATTGCAAAGAAAATCAGGAATTTCGTTATTTAGTCAGATAAGCGTATTTTACACGAACTGGTACAATGAATATGTACGATTTGCTTGTGAGGACTGAAAAATCCGCATGTCGCACGTAGTGCAGTTAATCAAAACGATTTTCTTTAAATGTGTCGGTTGGCATTGTGAATGAATTTATCCTCGGTCCTCGTTTCATATTTGAGCGTGTAAGAGGCGTTCAGTATTTTCAGACAGCAGTCAGGAATTTTATAACTCATGCACTCCCAAAGCTTTTGAAGCTAGGGGTTAGTGAAAGACCGCGTTTATGCTACCGAATCCAGGATTGTGATGACATTCAGCGCAATGAAATCCTAGCGGCAGAAATAAAGGAAAATCTGCAAAGTTATGCGCGTCATGGAGACCGTGAGGCGCAGTTACCTGTCTTGCATACACTGAAGAGGAGGCCATTTTGAAATTTTTAGAGCTCCTGCGACTCGAGGTGAAAATGCGAAATTTTCGCCGTATCCGCAAATATGATAAACTATCTTAAATAACACCTTTCATGTTCATTAAATAAGTAGGCTTTAATAGCAACAGAGGACGATATTTAATGTAATATTTATGCTTATTTGTTTGCAAAATATGATCAATGACAAAACTTCTCTTTTTTAAATTTTGAATAGGTTTTACACTATTTCCTATTGCACTCATAACTTAGTGTACTTTATCACTGAGTCCAGTATAAGCAACGAGAATTGAATCACCCCCTATTGCCAATTTTAAGCATTGTTGCATGCATATTTTCAACTATTTTAGTGCATGAAGTTCCGGGGTCTAGAAAAGACTATTGTTCCGGACAATCCAAACAAATGCAGAATGATGCTCCAGAGGCGCATAGTTGGAATTTGTGGAATTGAACTTGAGTTATAGCTGAGTTGCTACTAGAACAGGAATTACAATATTTCAATATTACATAATTATTTCCAATAGTCTGAGAATGTGTGTGTTGTTGAAGCTCCGCTAGTTTCGATTTAATCCAGAACAACATGGAAATTAAAGTACACAGAGAATTCCTCTGAACTTACAATCAAAGTGTAATGAAGTATGCTAATTTCAAACTTGTTCATAAGCGTATAATGTTTATAAATTAGTAATTATCTCTATTTCACAAACCATAGGAAGTTTATAAAATCTACGTTTCGCAGTAATCAGTAATAGTTCGTGTCTTTTGGTCATAAACCTACATATTTCAAACCTGAATGTTTGTGTTCCCGGTTCGATTAACCTCCACGTTGAAGACTCACGGCTTTTCTGGGAAGCCGGCTCTCGAGGAAGGTTCGTAGCGGCGAGAGCGACTGCAGCGATGACAGACGCTGTGAACACTGCGTGGGCCGTGACCCAACTGTAGAGGGCGCGTTGGCGGCAGTGCCGGGTGTAGTGGGCGTAGGCCAGATAGTGCGGGGGGGGAGATCGTGCGGTGGTGGTGACGGATGTGCACTGAGGGCGGTGGGAGGGACCGAAGGGAGCGGGGTGGTGGGGGCGACATGTACGGACAGAGAGCACGCGTGGGACTGATGGCAGCGGAAGGAGTGGCGGTGGAAGTGGAAGCCGAAGCTTGGCGGAGTCGGGGGCGGCAGAGGAGGCGGAGTGAGGACTGGGGTCGGAGTGGTTGGCCAGGTGGGGCGAGGGGTGGCGGGAATGTGGGGAACAAGGAAGGAAGGGTGGGTGGGGGGGCCCGGCGGCGGGGGGTGGATCGGGGCGATGAAAATTGTGGTGTCCGCAGGGGGGGAGGCGGGGACAGAGTGTCGGAGTTTGAGAAAAGGCGGCAGGGGCAGCAGCAAAACGACTTCGGGTCGCCAGTCTCTTCCATAGGCCACTGCTCGATATCAGTAATCGAAGCTACAGAATTTTTTTTTCAAAGATATGCTCGAGTACGTAATAAAGCACATGGCATACTCCAAGATTACTGAGCACGTGCTTTTTAAGCGAGAGGTTTGGATTTCTCATCTCCCCGACACGTCAACTTCTTGCTACCCACTAAATAATTTCCATTGTGGAAAAGTCACCGAAGACTCATTTCCCTAAATCTCGTATCCCTTAAATCATTCTGTACATGCCAAGTGTGGTACATATGGCCAAGTGTATGTACATTCCAACTGTGATACATGCCAACAGTTAATGTACATGCCAGTTTATGTACATGCAAGTTTATGTACATCATGTCATCAAGTTTATGTACATGCACAAGTATTAATGTACATGCCAAGTTTATGTACATGCCAAGTTTATGTACATGCCAATATGTACATGCCAGTTTATGTACATGTGCCAAGTTTATGTACATGCCAAGTTTATGTAACTGCCAAGTTTATGTACATCGTGCTCAAGTTTTATGTACATGCCAAGTTTATGTACATGCCAAGTTTATTACATGCAAGTATTATCTACATGCCTAAGTTTATCTACATGCCAAGTTAATGTATTTGCCAAGAATACTGCTTTCTTCTTCTGTAATTGCTTCTTAAAAATTGGAGTCTACTCTGTACATCGAAAAGGAAATAATATTGGTTTTAACAAAGATATTTATTGTATTACTTGCCATTGGGGTTGTATAATCCTATCCCATTACGACTTGAATACTTTCTGTAATACAATTTTTTAAATAAATGATAAAAAATAATTTTAATCATTTGAAATCTTAGCTACTCCTTTTCGTTTATATAAAGCCCCTGGAACATTTTCAAAAGAAAAAAATTGTTGCAACGTTTTTTTATTAAATGTTCGATAGTATGAAAGACATTTTTGCGAATGGTACAGGTCTCATTTTTGTTAAAAAAAACTTGATTTTTCGAAAGTTGCAAAAATTCAAAACTTTTCTACTTTCTTATTTCTCTCCAGCGATTTATGTTTGTTGTTGTTTATGTTTATCGATCAAATTTAAGCCTTGCTGATAATCTTGTTAATATCAAAGGTAAGATCTTCTAGGAGTGAGGGTCTTTCTATTGCCCCCAGTACCCTGAGGGAAGGGTAAGAACTCTTGTTAAGAAACTCGTCGCTCAATTTGAGGGAAGCGCCCTACGCGCACGGTCTTGCCGTCTTTCCGTCCCGATACTCTAAAAAGCGAGAGAACGTCTGCTTGAATAATGGCTTTTCATTTTGCAGAGTATTCACGTTTACAACTTTTCAACATAAAGAATTAATTCCAGGAAGTACATTGTACTCAAAATACTGTAAATATATGACAATTTTCTATTATATATTTTTATTACAACAATATTTTGTGAAATACAGTAAATTAGTAATTGACAGTCGTACACATATAATTAGCAATAAATATTGCAATATATTGTAACCATATATATAAACATTTTCAAATATACAATATTAAAAATATGTTTAACACAAAGAAATGGAATTCCCTTAAGAGCAACTTTTTCAAACAATACATCAGAAAACAAACCCCTTGTTGAGTGACCGCCAAATAAATTCAAATATGACGCCACGCTGACGCAAGAGCTTAGTTTCGCTACTCTTCGAAGTCATTTCTTGCTGCAGAGAATTTTGCTCAAATAAGCCACGCGAATTCCTTCTCAGTTGACCAAATACTCATTTCTTTTGTACAAAGTTCTTTGGAATCGATTGTCAATTGCTTTCTATTAGTTCAAAGAGTCACCAAACATGGTACAACCTCCTGGACGTCCGCGCCGAAAAATTTACCCATTATCAGATTTCTCGGAATCTAATTTTTTCCACATCAGATGAGACGAGCTCGCATTGCCATGAAAATCAGAGGAGCCGCGATTAGTTTCGTAGCCATCATGCACAAATCTAACTGAAGTGTGTTTGGTTCATTAAAAGTTTGATTCGGAACTGCCAGGAATTCCCAGAACATTTCTGCAGTCTACGACCTCAAACGCCAAAACGCGGCGAGCGTTTGTAAGTACCAATAGTGAAATTCATGAGGAAAACGTTTATTTTTGTCTGAGCGGAGGTAACCACGACAATCTCTTCAATATTCATTCATTCTTTAGGCAAAGTAATAATCTTTTTCAAATATGTGTCGTTTCTTTTCCAGAACTCTCTCGTCTGGTGAAAACATAGAAAGTTATATTCGTTGCAGTTTTTGCTAATGCTCTCCCAACTCATCTAAGCAATATTTCGCAGCCTCAACACCCCTAGTTAACGAATACATAAAACCTGCAATGGAAAACTACCGTGAATGAACATTGCAATTATTTAAAATACGTTTTTAATATACAAGTAATTAAATACTACCCAATACTACTCATTACAAATTGTCCAATATTTGGTGCAGAAACTAAATATTTTCGAGCAAATGACAACACAAATTTGACAATTATAACCGATTTTCATGCAAGTAATTCATGTCTCAACCATAAGATTCTTTCACAAAAATGAGCTTCCGTGTCACTGTTGTTGAATCATTGTAGCGTTCCAATCTGATATTCTCTGAAAGCTAAAAGTATGTCAAACACGTTTTAAATAATTTCTAAAATATTAATGTGTATATGTATTTTTAAAAAATTGAATGTAAGAAACGAACAAATATATATGACATATACAAATTCTAACATATGATGCATTCAAATCTCTGGAATTACTACAATGAAGCGCAGTAAATTCGGAACGGCCATAATTTTTGTCTCCAAATTAGCCCAAAAATACTCAGATTTTCAAGAAATTGAACATGACTTTATTTGAATATCTCTTTTGATAAACACATCCCCTTCTGTCATTCCTTTGCAGCAACACCACTTACATATATAGTTTCTAGGTAGTGTTGCTTGCACTCCACAGTTATATAATATCTTAAAATGGACAAGTTTATTACTTTATGAATGATTGCCTAAATAACTCAGCTCCTTAAGAATTGTCTTCGGTATGGAGGAACGATGAAAGCCATTGTATGGTCAGCAGACTGTAAACTTTGTGTACTCGTACATCAATCCATTGAGAATACAAATGGTATAATTAAGTAAAGTAAAAGTGCGACAAAGCAAAAATAGAATTAATATTGGCATTTTCAATAGGAAATTTTAATTAAAATTAAATTCATTATTTTTCATTTCATTCATTCATTCATTCATTCATTTTTTCTCATGGCGAGTAGTTGGTGTGAAAGCAGTACATATTTCATTAATTTTAAACAGAAATAACGCAAAAACTACTGGCTTTAAATATTTTTAAAAAAATATTTAGACCTCTTTTAAAGTGCTAATTTTGTAAAAGAGACTTTGTCTGATGCAAAAATCTTTATCTTTCATGTCGTAATTTTAAATTTTTTTTTTAATAAAAAAAACCTAGCAATACCCTTTAGCGTCGCGGTTTGGAGTCGGATCAGAGATGACTCGCAAGGTAGGGGGTTGAGGGCTCTAAAAATAGCCACGTGAACAAAAGACAGAACTCCCCAGAAAGGAAGGGTGTCGCGTGCAGAGGTAGCGTCAGAGACATGTTTCAATGCAGAGCGTCGGGGGGAGAAATGACGTGGGAAGTCATGTGACGTCGCGTCGCGATGGCGCGGGTGGATAACGACTTTGGTTTCCTTGTGGCGAGTCCACAAAACTCGTCCGCCCAGGCTGACGCGGAGTGCAGAGGAACGTGGTTTCGATGAGTTCAGACCTCGACCACTGTAAGTCTGATTATCGATCTGCCAAACGCCAAATTGCGAGGCTGCCTCGCTGACCTGTCGCAGGTGCCGCTGCATGGCGCATGTAGATAGTGGGGGCTCTAACAAACCGCCTAAAGAGTGAGGTTTTGTGTATCTGTAAATGAATGTAAATAAACTTGTATATACTCACTCGAGTCTGTTTTCTTTGTGGCGTAGATCCTTACCCACAACGTTACAACCCGAAAATATGACTAGCGGTCACATGTCCTAGGGGCTTCATGTAAACTACCCCCAAAATTAAAATTTCGGTTTCAAATCTCAGGGGCTGCGACATCAGCTAGAACGATTGGGGAATATCATTTTGTTGTGCACAGACGGACAGTTAGACGTTTTGTTGTCAATCAATTTTTCGGTATGAAGGACCTAACAAAACATGTATTCTGGCTACACCATGGGTTTGAGGATTTTTTCTTTATTTAGAAACTGAATTTCTCCATTTTTTCTTTAATAGGGCCCAGCAATGAGAGTTTTTGTGTCGAAAATTCGCCGTTTTCCGGCGCACGACTACAATACTTTCTCTTCTTATGTTAGTGAGTGCGAGAAAGTAAAAACAAACAAACTGCCCTTCATCATTTTTGGAGGGGGCTGTGTTATGATCATGAGGGAAGCCGAAATATAATAGTTATTTAGGTAACAAATCTTCTAAGCCAGTCATTGAGGATTCGGCCGGATGGTTCTTAACTATTCGGATCCGCTATCGCCTTGCCTCGCAGTTAGCCT